TGTGTTAGAAATATATTAGTTTCTTTATAAAATATTTATAAAATTAAAATATTTACACAAATAAAGTCAATTTTATTTGTTTAAATTCAAAGTGCGAATTCGAAGTTGGATTTCAAAATATATAATAAATGCGATTTGAATCGCATGCGATGAATCTGAATCGCATGTGATGCTTCTTCTTTCAGCATACGGTTAATAAAATTTTAGCAATCAGCTTTGCAAAATTGGTTCTCATTATTATACATCGCAAAAACAAATGGCATACTGTACGATAGAAAATCAAGTCGGTATTATTGGTTTGTATTATTTGGAGATTATCTATTGATAAAAATAAAACAAACAGAAAGTAAAGGAAGTGTAAGGGTAAAAGTAAAGGTAAAATGATTAATAAATGTTTGTATGTATGATGTTTGTATGTATGTATGTATGTATTATTAATGTATACATGATGAATGATTGATTAAATATAAAAATGTAAAAAATTTTAAATATTGTAGATTGTAAAATATAGAATCAAATATTTATATAGTTCGAGAGCAGTTAATAAATAAAATAAATTAGCCTATTTAAATACGTCTTTGTAAGAAACCTTTTTTGCTTTTAGAAATATTTGCTTTTAGAAGAATAGGCAAAATTTATATATAATTTTCAGTAGCGATTTTATTTAAATATGTTAGAATAAAGTAGAAATAAATTGTTATATATAAATATAACAATTATTGCTAGTGATAATGTAATATACGCTAATTATGCAATTCAAGAAGGAAAAAGCACTAGAACGAAGCTAGTCATTTCCTATATATTTTTGGACGCTGAATACGATTTCGGTTCCAGCTGCATCATGTAAATTTTTGAGAAATTTGCAATTAAAATTGCAAAAAGAATTACTTTCATGTACCTTGTCATGTTATAACTGCAGTACGTGACATGCTGGAAAATTTATTACAATCAAAATTAAATATGCTACTAGATCTTTAAAAGAAACTTTTTGTCGTAGCTATAGTTTATAACATTCATAAAACTAGCTGGGATCTGTCGCTGTGATTTAGATCAATGATGATTTACCAAACAGCTTTCAATTATGTAGGGGAAAGTTGCCGAATGCGTAGCAGTTAAGTTATTTTTTTTAATTATATTTTTTATTTAGTACTTATTTGTATGTGAGTGCTAAAAATTGTAGCTTGATGTTTTAGCCATCTATTATTGTACGTTTGATCTTTGATTAATAACAAATTAATTTGTTATAATGTATTATTTGCTACAAAAGGTATGAGATAACCGGCCTTAATTATATAACGTTATTTCTTGTAAAAAAGTAAGTCGAAATGTTTTGAATTTTTTTTTATAATGTTTCACAAAGTAATTACTGAGTAAAGCTAATTCAAGATCAGCATTATCTTTTAGACAGATATAGAGAGCCATAAACCGTGAGCCGTGTACTCACACACTACCAGGTGTACTGATCGGATTATCTTTACTCAGTAATTAGTACATTATTAAGTAATACAGAAAAAACTAGATTCAGACTTTTCGACTTATTTTTTTACTAAGTAAATAGTAAAC